TTTGGGGATAGGCTGACTTTGGGGCATCAGGATGTAATGAAGCTCTGGATTTTTTGGCACTGCAGCTAAATCGTAAGCCTATAAAATATGCTGGTATCTGAATAAGAACATGAAGGGTCTGCTGGGAACTGGGATGCCATATATGAAAGATACTGCACTGGGAAAATCAATGACCTTATCCCATGAAATCTGGAATATTGTAACTTGTCCGTCTCTGATTTGGCAGCTGAGAAACAAGTTTATAAAGAAGATTCCCCGGGACGCCGAGGCCTCCAATGTTTTGGTGGGAGAAGTGGATTTCTTAGACAAACCGTTTGTGGCTTTTGTACGGCTAGTCCAGGCAATAATGCTTGGTGGTGTCACAGAGGTTCCTGTACCCACAAGGTAATAAAAGTCATTATCTATAGAACGCATTGGACATTTTTATGAAGATTTAAAGACTTTACACCTGATTGATTTTTATTCACTGACATTTGTTTGAGTCACTATTTTTTTTTTTATACTCTTTATATCTCATCATTGTTTCAGTATATACTGTTCTTCCCCTTAGTAAAATTCCATCAAAGTTATAATTCGAACTGATTCACCGTCTGAGAAATTAAACATTCAATATTTTACAAACTACAGGATTTCCCTTAAGCGTCCAGGACATTTCTGTGAGACACTCTATTCATTCTTTCAGGCCCATTTAAACTTGTCCATTCTTGCCTTTGAAGTCCAAAGAAACACATCAAAACACGTCATCACACATCATAATGCATGTCAATACATGTGAACATGCACAAGTCATGCATTTTGATGAGTTTCCATTGATTTCAATGAAAAACACATCTGGCTAAAATTGACAATTGTGAATGGACAATCCTTTGACTAAAATCACATGGGTGGAAAAGAAGCTGTAAAAGCAGGCACTTGATCTGTGCCCTCGAACATCCACCTAAAACCTAACATGGTGGCTACTTAGGTGTGTATACATGCCGTCGCTGCGATGCTTTGCTTCACCGGCATGGCAAATTTTATAAAGCACGTCACGTTTGGTACGTGGTGCAGTCAATGGGACCAAAACTACATGCCAAAAGCTTGCAGCATGGTATTGCAATTCAAAATCCCCCATGGGATCAAAACAAGAAACCCAGGGATTCAGATGGCAGCAGTAATGCCTTCCAAACACCTGCAAACCATCGATCAACCACGTTCTGAAAAGTGATCTGCCACGGAGAGAAGTAAAGGTCCGCCACCCGTGTGAATAAAGTGGCACTATACTCAGGAGTTAAATCTTAAAAATGCATTCAAGTACCTTAATTATAATTAACAAAGTTATATCTTATTTGTGTATCACTCGGCTATAGATCCTCAAATCATCTCTGATTTGGTGCTGACACTGTCCTTCCTTCCGGAGGGGGGCTACTTTAGTTCCCCATGGTCCCTGTGTTTGTTGTAAAGTAGCCACCACTCCAAGCTCACTCCTGTGATGGACTACAATCTCAATACAAATTAGTAAACTAAACATGAGATTGTAGACCATCACAGGAGCAAGTTTGGAGTGGTGACTACTTTACAGCACACACAGGGACCATGAGGAACAAAAGTAGCCCCCCTCCCGAAGGAAGGACAGTATCAGCACCAAGTCAGAGATGATTTGATGATTCTACAGCTGAGTGATACACAAATAAGGGACAGTTTTGTTAATAGTTAAGGTACTTGAATGCATTTTTAAGATTAAGATTTTTAAGATTTACCTCCTGAGTTTAGTATCAATTTATTCATACACGGGTGGCAAACTTTAAGACGCCGTTCACACTGAGCGGTTTTTCGCGTGATTTCTGCTCCAAAATCACGCATATTTCCACGCAAATTTCGCTCAGTGTAGCTTGTCCAATGCATTCCAATGGAGCTGTTCACATCTCACAGCTCAATGTCGCCTGTAGCTCGTTGCTCAAGCTTGTAGCTCGTACATGACCTATTTTTTGGAGGATGTCGCGCGATTTGGCCCCAATAGGCAATGGTGTCGCTCCATATCGTGCATTACCGGCGATATTGCACGACCCTGTTGCGCGATATCGCACTACAGAAGTGTTATTTTTGCACAGCAATATGGAAGGAAGGAATGATGTAACATCAAGACCACTTTTGATTGGTTACAGCCCAATGTAGCAGCGACGAAGTTCCTCCCAAAAGTCGTGCTACGTAGTGTGAATAAATGTGCAATGTAGCTCGATGTAGCTCAATGTAGCTCAGCTCAAAATCGCGCAGAAAAACATGCGATTTTTCATGACGCTCAGTGTGAATGGGGTCTTATTGCTCTCCGTGGCAGATCACTTTTCAGAGCGTGGTTGATCGATGGTTTGCAGGTGTTCGGAATTACTGCTGCCATCTGAATGCCTGTGTCTCTTTTAATACCATGGGGAATTTTACTATGCTGCAAGATTTCGGCATGCAGTTTTGGTCCCATTGACTGCACCACCTACCAAACCTACTTGAATGCATGTTTAAGATATAACTCCGTAGTTTAGCGTCACTTTAAATGTAACTTTTTAAACTTTTTTTTTACTTTTTGTATGTACGTTTCCCCTGTAGGCCATGCACAAAGCAGGAGTATGAACGACATCACAGACACTCCAAGCACAGACCAGGTAAACAGCCACAAATCTTGAAGCTTTTACAGTGTATTCTAATAAAGGTGCCAAGAGCCAATTTTTGGCAAACACACAAAAAAGCTGATTTGGTTGTCCCATCCATCTGCATGATAATTATTTTAGATAACAATTGCATATAATAAAAAAAAAAAAAAAAA